TATTTGCCGTACTGAATTCATTAATTCATTCACATCCCTGTTTTCAGGCAGTCCGCTGCTGGATAGGGGCCGAATCCATGCCTTGTGTACGTGTCTGTCCGGGATTGTCAGCAGAACCAAATGGTACAACTGAAAAACCACCAGGCGCGCAACTCTAAAACTAAACTCAATTTAATTCCCTTAAACTTAATATAGTCTGTTCAAAGGTAAGGTTAGTTTAAAACAGAAATGGATAGGCAAAAGGAAAACAAATGTAGGGGGTCAATTAATTAGTCGAGTTGGGGGGGAGATGGGAGTGGGTCACAAGACATCTGGACCACCCCTTTGCGCGAGGGGGCAACGCTCAATTCCCCGTGCAGGAAGAACGAGATGGAGATGAGTCCCGTACAGATGGAGTAGGACGGAAAGTCGTCTACTTGCTGTTACCATCCTTCTCCTGGAGAGCCAGGTGTACGGCATCTTCTCGACACCGCACGGGCAAGGCGAGTCTGACTACGGCATCTGTGTGTGAATGCGGTGGTCCAACAACCCTCGCCGCTGCTGCTGCTGCCGCCTCCACAGCGCTGATGCGCTTCTGTGGCCGTCTGGAACGCTCTTCCTTCCGACATTAGTATAGACACTGGGAGTTACGCACTTTTAAATGATCACAGATTGGAAACGCATTTCTTTGTACGGTAACTACTTTTGTGTGTGGTTAGTTTTGTTGTCCCGCCCCCCCCCCCCCGCACCTCCAATTAGCGCGGTTGGATACGTACGGTGCGAAAGAAGTTCAACGAATGCACGTGGCAGTCACAGGCAGCCACGTGCAGCAGCGTAGCCGTCACCGCCACCGTCATCACCCGGCCTGACGAGGGCCATTGAGGGATCGTGTAAGCGTCGCTTTGAAGTTACAAGTTGCCCCCATCGGCTCTGGCGAGATGTTAACTGCCTCGCCAGGTATGCAGGAGGTCGTGGATTCGATCCCGAACCTGACGCCTGCTGCTGCTGTATATTTGGAGTTTAAGATGTTTTTCTTGTTCGTGTTTTAGTTTTTTTGTTTGTTGTGGTTGCACCCGATTCAAGAGCCGAATGGCTCACAGGGCTATACCAAAACAAACTGAACTGAACTGAGTTTGCGCGTCTCTCTCTCTTCTCATCATCACCACGATGGCTAGGAGATGTTAACTACCTCGCCTGGTGTACAGGAGGTCGTGGGTTCGATCCCGACCCTGACGTTAGCTGCTGCTGTATATTTGGAGTTTTGCGTCTCTCTCTCTCTCCCCGTGGTCCGGGTCCTCCGCCCCCCTCTCCTCCATATTTAGAATCAACATCACGCGTTTAGAGTAATTTGGCCGTCATAAATGTCCACAACTTTGATGATGATAAACCACATCGTTTGAGCTATCACTCGCGATAGCCAGGTCGCTTCTGAGAACTAGCTCCTTAGCTCAGGTGGGGCCCTTACCTGTCAAAATAGAAACTAGTTTTGAATATGTATTTTAAAGTTTGATCGTGTTAAAGGGAGGTGGGTGGGGGTGGTGGAAGTTTTAAGAAATTAACATCATTGCTTCATACCTGCCGCTCCTGGTGATCGAATCGAATCGGCGACTTCTGGATCGCAAGTCCAGTGCGTTGCTGCTGCTGCTGACACACCACGGCAGCACCCCTGCAAGACGTAGCCCTGGTCAGGGTTCATTCACAGTCGCGCTAACCATTGCGCCACCGCTCCTCCTCCCCCTCCCTTCCCCCTCCCTCCCTCTTACTGCTCTACCTGTGTGCATGCATAGCCGGAGTTGAACTCTGCAGGAATGGCTATGGTACGCATCACTGCTCAGCCACACGAGGTGAGTTACAAATATCAGAGAGAGAGAGGGGAGGGGGGAGGGGGGGGAGTGCTGAGTGACACGAGCCGAATCCATATCAGCACATTCCTCGTCACCGTTCCAGTGTACGATGGCTAGGAGATGTTAACTACCTCGCGCGGTATGCAGGAAGTCGTGGGTTCTATCCCGACCCTGGCGCCTGCTGTATATGTGGAGTTTGCGTGTCCCTCTCTCTCTCTCATCATTATCACGGTGGGTAGGAGATGTTAACTACCTCCCCCGGTTTGCAGGAAGTCGTGGGTTCGATCCCGACCCTGACGCCTGCTGTATATGTGGAGTTTGCGTGTCTCTCTCTCTCTCTCACTCCCCGTGATTGTGTGGATTTATCTCCGCGTCCTCCGTGTTTTCTCCCTCCACATTTGGAATCAACGTCATCACGCGTTTAGAGTGTTTGGCTGCTGATCTAAATTTCCACGTGATGATGATGATGATGATTATAAGCCGTTGAGCTATCATTTGTGACAGGTCGCTTCTGAAAAGAGAGATGTAGAGATCAGTTGGGCCTTACCTGGTAAAATAAAAACAATATATAGTTTAGAGTTTAGTTTTATACTCTTTGGTTCTTTCGGTAAGGTCACGTAGGTATAAAATAAGTCACGACGTTTCGGGCGCAACACAAAGCGTCCGTCATCAGGTGTGAAAGCGGGCGTTTGGTGTTGCGCCCGAAACGTCGTGATTTCTTTTATTTTATACCCACGTGACTTTACCAGAAAGAACCAAAGAGCGTAGATTCCTGCAGTCACGAAAGCTTCAAATCAAGTTTAGTTTTAGCATGGGTGACTCGACGCTGCTACTGCACGTGGACTTCCTGTGGTGATCCATAGCTGTGAAGGCAGCAGCTAGGGTTGGTGGATCACCGCGCGCGCACACACACACACATGTTGTTGCGAAACTTCCCTTTTCCCTTGGGCGTCGAGGAGCAAGCTGTACCCCCTGGCTCGCCAGGAGGAGGCCTAATATACCGTAGTGTGGACTCATCGCTATCTGTTTATTCCATCTGTACAGGGATCGAGCGTTGCTCCCTTCTCTCTCGCGCGCGCAAAGGCGTGGGTTTTTTTTTCTCCGGGTGCTCCGGGTTTCGCCCACAGTACAGCAAGTGGACTAAGCGGCATCTGTTTCTATCTAAACTAAAAACTAAAATATTTATTTGTTTACCAGGTAAGGCCTCACTGAGCTATACAATTATATATATTTTTAGAAGCCAATCTGCCCACAAATGACAGCGCAACGAAAGTGTATTATCATCACGTGGGCATTTATAGCAGCCAACCACTCTAAACGCGTGTTTCCCCATCTGTAACCGGGATCGAGCGTTGCTCCCTTCTCTCTCGCGCGCGCAAAGGCGTGGGTTTTTTTTTTCTCCGGGTGCTCCGTTTCCTCCCCACGTGAATAATAATAATAAACACAACTCATCATTAATCGACTGAAACCGTCTTACAAATAAGCACTTCGATGTAGCGGCAGAACCGCTCCTGAAAACGACTCCGACGATTCGTTGCGACTCTCCTCAATAATTCCGTTCAACAAACCTCCCCCCCCCACACACACTGCGTCTGTGTGTCCGTATGAATGTGTTGTGGGGAGCGGTGGGCGCGGTGGGCGCGGTGGTTAGCGCTACGCTGCGCTGCGTAAAACCCCCGCGACTCGGGTTCGATTCCCGCTCACGGCCAACACCGGTGACGATTATCTGAACCGGTCCTGGGCCTCCCCTAGGTTGACTACGCCTCAAATGAGCACCTGGTGCGGTGTTTAAAGATCGATAGAGGGACCCGTAGACTCGCAGCGCACGCTTGCAAATGAGACTATCAAGGTCTCTTTAGTTCTCACCTGGTTAAACAAAATCAACTTGAACACACCCAGGGAGTGACGCAGTGACCCGTGGACTCACGCAGAGACCCGCGGACTCACGCAGAGACCCGCGGACTCACGCAGAGACCCACGGACTCGCGCAGAGACCCACAGACTCACGCAGAGACCCACAGACTCACGCAGAGACCCGCGGACTCACGCAGAGACCCACGGACTCGCGCAGAGACCCACAGACTCACGCAGAGACCCACAGACTCACGCAGAGACCCACAGACTCAAGCAGAGACCCACGGACTCACGCAGAGACCCGCGGACTCACGCAGAGACCCACAGACTCAAGCAGAGACCCACGGACTCACGCAGAGACCCACGGACTCACGCTGAGACCCGCGGACTCACGCAGAGACCCACAGACTCAAGCAGAGACCCGCGGACTCACGCAGAGACCCGCGGACTATCGCGGAGCCCAAAGCGACCCTTTCCGATTGGTTTCGACCCTCCAGTGTCTCATCGGCAGTGTCACCCCGAACGCTAGCGAGCCGCCCAATGTTTACGGGCAAGATCCCCCCATACCCCCCACCCCCCTTAGATACGGGGCCCCGAGTCGCCCCCGTGACGTCTCCGCGGGGATTGTTTGTTGCCATTCGGGTTTATTTTGTCCTAGAGGCGCCGGAGTGTCCACGTGGGGTGGCGCGGCATGGCCGCTCCTGACGCCAGGGGGGAGGGGGGTGGGAGATGGGGTGGGAGGGACACTGGGAGGGGGCGATGGGGGGTAGGGAGGATGGGAGCGGGGGGGGGTACACAGGGAGCGAGGGAGGCAAGGTGGGAGGGGGATAGGGAGAAGGGAGTGAGAGGAGGAGGTGGTGGGGAGGATTGGTGGCGGGGGGGGGGTCCAGGAAGGGAGAATGGACAGCGCCGCGCGTGTGCGCGTGTGGGAGTGAGGGATGGAAGTTGGGGGAGCGGTGGCGCAGCGGTTAGCGCGACGCTGCGCTACGAACCCGGCGGGTTTCGAGCCGCTCTCACGGCGAACCCACACCGGTGACGATCATTTGAACCGGTTTCGTGGCCTCCCCTAGGTCGGCTCAGCCTCAAATGAGTACCCTGACGCGGTGCGTAGTCAACGTCGCCGCTCGGGAGACAAAGGCGGCCGGGCGTGGTGCTGGCCACCCACCCCGTCGTGTGCCGCGCGCTTCTTGCTCGCGAACGGCACTTGCCCCCCAACAGTCTGTTGAGGCTATACGGGGGCGGCGGGGGAACTTTTGATTGAAGTGGTTGAGAGAGGGAGGGAGGGAGACTGGGAGGGGATGGAGAGGGTGGGACTAGGGGAGGGAGTAGGAGGGAGGGAGGGTTCAGGATATAATATCTGTGCTCGCGACCTGGGGAGGCACGCTGGGCTGTGAACCGAGCAAGAGTCGGAACAGAGAGAGGGAGAGAGGGAGAGGCAGGGAGAAGGGAGGATCACAGGGAACGCAGGGAGGAGGGCAGAGTGGCCAAGCGAGAGTTTGAGTGCGGCGGGGAAAGAGCGCGAGTGAGCGGGGGGGGGGAGAGGTTTGAGGGAGGCTTGAGTGAGAAAAGAGGTCGATCAAGAGAGAGAGAGGAGAGAGCGGGGTTGGGGAGGGAGTGAAGCAATAGGAAAAGGAGAGCGGAAAGCGATAGGAAGGAAAGAGAGGGAGGGAGGGAGAGGAAACCCCGTTTCTGCTTCTCTCGGTTTCATAAGAGAACTCCGTGTCGGTGTTTGGAAGAAAAACAACAACAACCAAACAACCACAACCACCACCACCTCCGCGCTTCTCAATTTCACGTTTCCTCCTGGAGCCGACGTCCGAGAGAGGTCAGTTCGGGTCTCGTTGACTCGAGTTTGAATGATTCTATTCGAAACGGAGCGAAGCGGTGATGTTGCTGATGGCGATGTGACGTGGTGATGTAGCTGAGAGCGCTCCCCCTCTGTCGCTCATTCGTTGATCGCACGGAAAAGAGCTGCCGAACGAATTTCGGAACGAATAAAGCTGATGTCGTGCTGGCGTCGTTCTTCCGGATGCGCGCTGATGTCTTGGGCGCTGCGGTGGCTAGGAGATGTTAACTACCTCGCCTGGTGTGCAGGAGGTCGTGGATTCGATCCCGACCCTGACGCCTGCTGCTGTATATTTGGAGTTTGCGCGTCTCTCTCTCTTCTCATCATCACCACGATGGCTAGGAGATGTTAACTACCTCGCCTGGCGTACAGGAGGTCGTGGGTTCAATCCCGACCCTGACACCTGCTGTATATCTGGAGTTTGCGTGTCTCTCTTTCATCATCATCACGGTGGCTAGGAGATGTTAACTACCTCGCCTGGTATACAGGAGGTCGTGGGTTCAATCCCGACCCTGACGCCTGCTGTTATATATTTGGAGTTTGCGTGTCTCTCTCATCATCATCACGGTGGCTAGGAGATGTTAACTACCTCGCCTGGTATACAGGAGGTCGTGGGTTCAATCCCGACCCTGACGCCTGCTGCTGTATATTTGGAGTTTGCGTGTCTCTCTCTCTCATCATCATCACGGTGGCTAGGAGATGTTAACTACCTCGCCAGGTATACAGGAGGTCGTGGGTTCAATCCCGACCCTGACGCCTGCTGCTGTATATTTGGAGTTTGTGTCTCTCTCTCTTCCCGTGGTCGCGTTGATTCTTCACCGGGTTCCTCTGTTTCCCCCCCGCCCCATCCCCTCCACATTTAGAATCAACATCCACGCGTTCAGAGTAGTTGGCTGCTGCTGTAAGTTTCCGCGTGACCATGATGATGATGATGACGGTGAGCCAGGCGCCACTTCCGTTGAGCTGAGCATTTGTGATAGCCGGCTAAGTGTGGGTGGGGCCTTACCTGGTACAATAAAAAAGACAACGTAGTTTAGTTTCCTCGTATAGTTATGTTTGGGTGAGTTATTGACGTTCGGCGTTGTGGTTGCTAAGCACGGCTCACATCGGGACGCTCTTTGGGCGTCCTCTGGTCTAACACCGTTTTGAGACCAGGCTCGATTGAAGGCTGTCTCTGGTGTGGATCAATCAGTTTCAAAGACAATGCATCATCATACTATCAGTGGTTTTTTTTTGCATTCTGACCACAAGTATTGCGGTTAATGCGGACGTGATTCCTTGTACAAGGTTTCAGTTTGGTGTTTTAACATCTTAACACAGCTGTTTTGTTGCCAGAAACAAGGGGAAAACCTATTCTCACATCGTCTTAATTGTGTCGCTCGCAGAGCAAGCTCGGCCCATTGTATCCCTTCAAGCGAAACACTCTGCCCCCCCCCACCCTGCCCCCCCACCCTGCCCCCCACCCTGCACCCCCACCCTGCTCCCCACCCTGCCCCCCACCCTGCCCCCCACGCTGCCCCCCACCCTGCCCGCTCCTCCCGCACGCCGCCCAAAGGCACCTACGAGTGAACCGAGTGAGTTCACCTCGCCTCCTCCCCGCGAAGCGTCGTTCGCGATGACCGCACGTGTGCCCCGGGGCGGGGGGGAGCAGTGGATCTGGAGCGAGCCGGGTCAATAGCGAGCCGGGTCTATAGCGAGCCGGGTCTATAGCGAGCCGTGCGGGTCTATAGCGAGCCGGGCGGGTCTATAGCGAGCCGGGTCTAGAGCGAGCCGTGCGGGTCTATAGCGAGCCGGGTCTATAGCGAGCCGGGTCTATAGCGAGCCGGGTCTAGAGCGAGCCGGATCTAGAGCGAGCCGGGTCTAGAGCGAGCCGGGTCTATAGCGAGCCGGGTCAATAGCGAGCCGGGTCAATAGCGAGCCGGGTCAATAGCGAGCCGGGTCTAGAGCGAGCCGGGTCTAGAGCGAGCCGTGTCTAGAGCGAGCCGTGTCTATAGCGAGCCGTGTCTATAGCGAGCCGTGCGGGTCTATAGCGAGCCGTGCGGGTCTATAGCGAGCCGGGTGGGTCTATAGCGAGCCGGGTGGGTCTATAGCGAGCCGGGTGGGTCTATAGCGAGCCGGGTGGGTCTATAGCGAGCCGGGTGGGTCTATAGCGAGCCGGGTGGGTCTATAGCGAGCCGGGTGGGTCTATAGCGAGCCGGGTGGGTCTATAGCGAGCCGGGTGGGTCTATAGCGAGCCGGGTGGGTCTATAGCGAGCCGGGTGGGTCTATAGCGAGCCGGGTGGGTCTATAGCGAGCCGGGTGGGTCTTTAGCGAGCCGGGTGGGTCTATAGCGAGCCGGGTGGGTCTATAGCGAGCCGGGTGGGTCTATAGCGAGCCGGGTGGGTCTATAGCGAGCCGGGTGGGTCTATAGCGAGCCGGGTGGGTCTATAGCGAGCCGGGTGGGTCTATAGCGAGCCGGGTGGGTCTATAGCGAGCCGGGTGGGTCTATAGCGAGCCGGGTGGGTCTATAGCGAGCCGGGTGGGTCTATAGCGAGCCGGGTGGGTCTATAGCGAGCCGGGTGGGTCTATAGCGAGCCGGGTGGGTCTATAGCGAGCCGGGTGGGTCTATAGCGAGCCGGGTGGGTCTATAGCGAGCCGGGTGGGTCTATAGCGAGCCGGGTGGGTCTATAGCGAGCCGGGTGGGTCTATAGCGAGCCGGGTGGGTCTATAGCGAGCCGGGTGGGTCTATAGCGAGCCGGGTGGGTCTATAGCGAGCCGGGTGGGTCTATAGCGAGCCGGGTGGGTCTATAGCGAGCCGGGTGGGTCTATAGCGAGCCGGGTGGGTCTATAGCGAGCCGGGTGGGTCTATAGCGAGCCGGGTGGGTCTATAGCGAGCCGGGTGGGTCTATAGCGAGCCGGGTGGGTCTATAGCGAGCCGGGTGGGTCTATAGCGAGCCGGGTGGGTCTATAGCGAGCCGGGTGGGTCTATAGCGAGCCGGGTGGGTCTATAGCGAGCCGGGTGGGTCTATAGCGAGCCGGGTGGGTCTATAGCGAGCCGGGTGGGTCTATAGCGAGCCGGGTGGGTCTATAGCGAGCCGGGTGGGTCTATAGCGAGCCGGGTGGGTCTATAGCGAGCCGGGTGGGTCTATAGCGAGCCGGGTGGGTCTATAGCGAGCCGGGTTTAGAGCGCACTGGGCCACGAAGGCCGCTTGCCGGTTCCGGCTCGCAATCGGTGGCGAATATGTGAGCTGGGCATGGTCAAGGGCACACCACACCGCCCTTCATAGTTGCTGGATAAGAGCACTTGCCCCCAACAGCCCATGTATGCTACTCGGGGGATCTTTAGTTTGTGTGTCTGTGTGCGTCTTTGTTATGCGTACATACGTGCGAGTGTCCGTACGTGTTGACAAGTTTGTGTGTGCGTGTGTGTGCGTGTCTTGTTGTGCGTTTGTGGGGAGCGGTGGCGCAGTGGTTAGCGTACTGTCCTACAAACCCAGCTAGTCCTAAGTTCGATCACCGCCCGCCCTGAGCATCACCAACCGGGCACTGGTCTCCCCCTACGTCGACTCGGCCTTAAGTGGGTGCCTTGTGCGACGGCACTGGTGGGGATACAAAGGCGGCCGGGCTTGGTCCTGGCCAAATTACCCTCGTGTGCCACCACAGTGCCGGCCTTCCATCGGTGTTCCCGATCGTGAACAGCAGAGTCGGGATCTTCGTCATCGATGCACGTTGATGGTGTGCCATGAATGCTGGGCGTGCGTGTGTGTCTTGTGTCATGTGTGTGTGTCTTGTGTGGTGTGTGTCTTGTGTGATGTGTGTGTGTCTTGTGTGTGTGTGTGTGTCTTGTGTGATGTGTGTGTGTGTCTTGTGTGTGTGTCTTGTGTCTTGTGTGTGTGTCTTGTGTGATGTGTGTGTGTCTTGTGTGATGTGTGTCTTGTGTGATGTGTGTGTGTCTTGTGTGTGTCTTGTGTGATGTGTGTGTGTCTTGTGTGTGTGTCTTGTGTGATGTGTGTGTGTCTTGCGTGTGTGTCTTGTGTGATGTGTGTGTGTCTTGTGTGATGTGTGTGTGTCTTGTGTGTGTGTGTGTCTTGTGTGACGTGTGTGTGTCCTGTGTGATGTGTGTGTGTGTCTTGTGTGATGTGTGTGTGTGTCTTGTGTGATGTGTATGTGTTGTGTGGTGTGTGTGTGTGTTGTGTGTGTGTGTCTTGTGTGATGTGTGTGTGTGTCTTGTGTGATGTGTGATGTGTGTGTGTCTTGTGTGTGTGTGTCTTGTGTGATGTGTGTGTGTGTCTTGTGTGATGTGTGTGTGTTGTGTGGTGTGTGTGTGTGTCTTGTGTGATGTGTGTGTGTGTCTTGTGTGATGTGTGTGTGTGTCTTGTGTGGTGTGTGTGTGTCTTGTGTGGTGTGTGTGTGTGTCTTGTGTGATGTGTGTGTGTGTGTCTTGTGTGATGTGTGTGTGTTGTGTGGTGTGTGTGTGTGTCTTGTGTGATGTGTGTGTGTGTCTTGTGTGATGTGTGTGTGTGTCTTGTGTGATGTGTGTGTGTGTCTTGTGTGGTGTGTGTGTGTCTTGTGTGGTGTGTGTGTGTGTGTCTTGTGTGGTGTGTGTGTGTCTTGTGTGATGTGTGTGTGTCTTGTGTGATGTGTGTGTGTCTTGTGTGATGTGTGTGGCTTGTGTGGTGTGTGTGTCTTGTGTGGTGTGTGTGTCTTGTGTGGTGTGTGTGTCTTGTGTGATGTGTGTGTGTCTTGTGTGATGTGTGTGTGTGTGTCTTGTGTTGTGTGTGTGTGTCTTGTGTTGTGGATGTGTGTCTTGTGTGATGTGTGTGTCTTGTGTGATGTGTGTGTGTGTCTTGTGTGGTGTGTGTGTGTCTTGTGTGATGTGTGTGTGTGTGTCTTGTGTGGTGTGTGTGTGTGTGTGTCTTGTGTGGTGTGTGTCTTGTGTGATGTGTGTGTGTTTCTTGTGTGATGTGTGTGTGTGTGTCTTGTGTGATGTGTGTGTGTCTTGTGTGATGTGTGTGTGTGTGTCTTGTGTGGTGTGTGTGTGTGTCTTGTGTGGTGTGTGTGTGTGTGTCTTGTGTGATGTGTGTGTGTCTTGTGTGATGTGTGTGTGTGTCTTGTGTGATGTGTGTGTGTCTTGTGTGATGTGTGTGTGTGTCTTGTGTGATGTGTGTGTGTCTTGTGTGGTGTGTGTGTGTCTTGTGTGGTGTGTGTGTGTGTCTTGTGTGGTGTGTGTGTGTCTTGTGTGGTGTGTGTGTCTTGTGTGGTGTGTGTGTCTTGTGTGGTGTGTGTGTCTTGTGTGGTGTGTGTGTCTTGTGTGGTGTGTGTGTCTTGTGTGGTGTGTGTGTGTGTCTTGTGTGGTGTGTGTGCGTACATTGGTGGGGAGCGGTAGTGTAGCGGTTAGCGCGCTGCGCTACGAACCTGGCGACCCGGGTTCGATTCCCGCTCACGGCCAACATCAGTGACGATTATCTGAACCGGTCCAGGTCCTCCCCTAGGTCAACTCAGCCTCAAATGAGTACCTGATGCGATGTGTAAACATCGCCACTGGGGAGACAAAGGCGGTCGGGCGTGGTGTTGGCCACCTACCACCCCCCCCCCCCCCCCCGTGTACCGTTCCGGCCTTCATAGGTGCTCGCTAACAGCACTTGCCCCTACAGTCTGTTAAGGCTATACGGGGGTTCTTTGTACATTCGTGAAACTCCACCATTGGCGAACGTATGTGGAATAAGATTTTTCTGTTGCCTACCCCCCCCACCGGTTTCGCGAGACGTCCGTCTCCGCGAGTGACTTCCTCGAAAGACGCTGGCTGAGAAATTCACTTCACAAACCACCACCGCCCGAATTCGCTTTCCGCCCATTCAGCATCGACAACTTTCGCGTTTGATCATTTTAATACATTCCGGACTTTCACGATAACTCGTTATAACTTTACCCCCACTCCCCTAACTCCCCTCGTTTCACCCCCCCCCCCGCCCCCCCACCGAAAATCGGACTTAAGCTATTGAAGGCAGAGAGAGAGAGATGTGTGGAGACGTCGACCCGAATGTCAGATTCGGTAGCGACTCCTCGGGCGTTTGTGTCCGCGTGGCAAGCGACGACGACCACGGCGCGCGGTTGCCTGCGCCGAATGAACGAAGTTCAACAACAACACCACACACAAACATACTTTGCTGCAACAAAAGACAAAGAAATCCCCCGTGTAGCCTTAGACAGACTGCAGGGGCAAGTGCTTGTTAGCGAGCACCTCCGTGAACGCCGCCACGGCCGGGGTCCGTTGTCTTCCGAGTTGGAGACGTTTTTGTTTTGTTTTACACATCGCGTCCAGGCACTCATTCGAGGCCGAGTCGACCTAGGGGCTGAGTTCGCGAGCGGGAATTTGAAACTCGGGTGACGCCGGGTTCGTAGCGCAGCGCGCAAGCCGCCGCAACCGCCGCTCCGATTAGTAACGAAGACAAAGATCCCCCGTGTAGCCTTAACAGACTGCAGTGGCAAGTGCTGTTAGCGAGCAACCTATGAAGGCCGGAACGGTACACGAGGGGGGGTGGGGGGGTGGGTGGCCAACACCACGCCCGACCGCCTTTGTCTCCCCAGTGGCGAATGTTTGCACACCGCACCAGGTACTTACTACCATAACACCACACGCACACTACACTGCAATCGGTGGCCAATATCTGAACCGGATTCCTGTTTGATTGCTGTTTGAGAAGTTCCAACCACACACACACACACACCCGCTCCGTACTACGATCAGGAGCTAAGTGCCAATGTCGAGGTCTGCTGCTGCTGGCCACGACGAGAGGGCTTCAGCAGAGAGAGAGTTCGTGTCGTGTCGCTGTTCCTCCTCCTCCGTTGAAGGAGCTCAGACCGCAGTGAGTTTACTGTAGACTAATACTGGACCCATAGACTAATACTGGACCCATAGACTAACACTAGACCCATAGACTAACACTGAACCCATAGACTAACACAGAACCCATAGACTAACACTGAACCCATACACTAACACTGAACCTATAGGCTAACACTGAACCCATACACTAACACAGGACCCATAGACTAACACAGAACCTATAGACTAATACAGGACCCGTAGACTAACACTGAACCCATAGACTAACACTGAACCCATAGACTAATACAGGACCCATAGGCTAACACTGAACCCATAGACTAACACTGAACCCATAGACTAACACAGAACCTATTAACTAACACAGGACCCATAGATTAACACTGGACCCATACACTAACACAGAACCCATACACTAACACAGAACCCATAGACTAACACTGAACCCGTAGACTAACACTGGACCCATACACTAACACTGGACCCATACACTAACACTGGACCCATAGACTAACACAGAACCCATATACTAATACAGAACCCATAGACTAACACTGAACCCGTAAACTCTTATTCTTGCCGTGTGCCGGCACTGTAGTACAGGAGCTAAGTGCCAATGTCGAGGTCCTGCTGCTGCTGGCCACGACGAGAGGGCTTCACCAGAGTTCGTGTCGTGTCGCTGTTCCTCCTCCTCTTCTGTTAAAGGAGCTCAGAACCACAGTGGGTGGTCTACTGCGCGGGTTCCTCGTTCTGGTTGCACGGCCACACTCACGCTGCTCTGTGGCTTGGCATCTCCTCTCGTTCTCTTTGGGTCTCTGCGAGTGCACGTTAGGTCTCTGTGCCGATGCGGGTCTCTATGAGTCCCTGTGATTCTCTTTGTGTCTCTGTATGGGTTTATTATAGGGTCCGTAGTTCGGAGGGCACGCCGACAATCGAACTACCGTGCCTTGTGTCGCGCTGCTATTGCTTTGGTGATCTTTTTGTAATCCATTGCATTGAATCTTAATCCATCGCAATGGGTTTAATTGCGTTACGTTACTTTGCAACACGTGTTACGTTTAAAGTTCAATCAATTAAATGTATCACTTGCAATCCATTGCATTTGATTGTAATCCATTACATTGTCATCGTTACGTTAATAGTAATCCGCTACAAAATGTTGTAACCCACTGCATTCCATGGTAATCCATCCCAAGGGGTCGCCACGATGGCTAGGAGATGTTAACTACCTCGCCTGGTGTACAGGAGGTCGTGGGTTCGATCCCGACCCTAACGCCTGCTGCTGCTGTATATTTGGAGTTTGCGTGTCTCTCTCTCTCCCATCATCATCACGGTGGCTAGGAGATGTTAACTACCTCGCCTGGTGTACAGGAGGTCGTGGGTTATATCCCGACCATGACGCCTGCTGCTGCTGTATATTTGGAGTTTGCGTGTCTCTCTCTCTCCCCGTGGTCGCGTGGATTTTGTCCGGGCTCCTCCGGTTTTTCACCCTCCGCATTCAAAACCAACGTCACGCGTTCAGAGTGTTTGGCTGCTGCTCGACATTTCCGTGTGATGATGATGACAAGCCAATTAGTTGAGTTATCATTTGTGATCGCAAGGTCGCTTCTGGGGCCTTTACCTGGTGAAATAAAAATAGTTTACAGTCGAGTTTGCATTCTGATCCATTACATTACATTATCATCCACTACACAATGCAATCCATCACAGGATCGTACATTGTAATCCTTACATTGTAATCCACGACGCAACGTAATCCATCACGGGATCGTGCATTGTAATCCATTACATTGCAATCCACGACACAACGTGATCCATTACACGATGCTACATTGTAATCCATTACATTTCATTGCAATCCACGGCACTGTGACCGCACACACTTACACTGCCTCGTTCTGTCTCTCCGTCCGGCACCCCTCCCCAGCCCCCCTCACCAGCCCAGCCAAATGGACGTGGGCCCCCCAGCCCAGCCAATGTGGGCCCCCCACTCCTCTCTGCTGGACATGGAACAGGGTGGGGGTGCTGATCCCCTTCCATTCCCGGCCTCCACACCTGCCCAGCAGCCACCGTACGGATTCTTCCAGCATCAGCAGGAGCACGGCTACCCCAGTGAGGACGGATTGTCATCGCACATAGGTGCGTGCGTTTCTGTGTTTTCGTGCGTGCCCGTGCGTGCCCGTGCGTGCGTGCCCGTGCGTGCGTGCCCGTGCGTGCGTGCCCGTGCGTGCGTGCCGGTGTGTGTCTTTGTGTCCGTGCCGGCCTTCATAGCTGCTGCTCGCAAACAACAACTTGCCCATCGACAGTCTGTTAAAGGCTACACGGGGGAACTTTGTCTTTGTGACTGTGTATTTGGTTGCATGCGTGGCCACGTGTGTGTCCGTGCATGCGTGTTCATGCGTGTGTCCGTGTGTGTCTGCGTGTGTCTGTGCATGCGTGGCCACGTGTGTGTCCGTGCGTCTGTGTAAGTGGTCCACCTAGCGTGGCACAAGCGTCGTGGTGACGTCACCGCCACTTAGTGGTGAACGGCGGTTGTTGGTTGTGTAGCGGGTAGCGCTACGCTGCGCTACGAACCCGGCGACCCGAATTAAATTTCCGCTCACGGCCACCAACACCGGTGGCGATTATCTGAACCGGTCCTGGGCCTCCCCGAGGTCGACTCGGCCTCAAATGAATACGTAGGGAGACAAAGGCGGCCGGGGGTGGTGCCGGGCAACTCGCTAACAGCACTTGCCCCTGCAGTCTGTCGAGGCTATACGGGTGATCTTTGTCTTTGTCCCGTGTTATAGATCAATCAGTTGGTCAGTCATTTAATCCGTTAGCGACTCATTCAAATGACAAGTTAATTCATCAGTGGGTCATTCATTCAAATGAGATTCGGGCGCTCGGTTAAGTTAATGAATCATTCAATGAATGAATCAGGTATTGGAATAGCACATTAAGTCAATCACTCATTCATCTATACATACAGCATCTACTGCCTCCCTGGGTTGGTTGAAAGCACGTGGCATTCAACCGGAACTCGTTCACTCCACCACTGTTGCTCTTCCCTCCCAACGTACGAGAGAATAATGGCCATCCTATCAACCCACCCAGCCACGAGCCATTCAATCCATAACTTAATTGAACGAATCGATTTATTTACATACATTGAATAGATTGATTTATTGAATATTGATGTATTGCCATTAAAAAGATCGATATATTTTTTTGTTTATTGAATATATTTCTATGTATTGAATATATTGCATATTTATTTATTGAATGTTTAATTTCGAGAAGAATGGTCATCCCCTCAACACGCACAGCCACGAGCCATTCAATCCGTAGCTCGATTGGCCATTGAGTCAACTGATGCATTTACAAGTTGACCGTCAAAGGTCAAGGAACGAGCCCAATGAACAGCTCTGTCGCGAGCCGCACGTCCGACCAAACGGAATCCCCTCCCCGTCGTCCCCCGCCTCCCCCCCTACGTCTGGCGACGTCGGATCGAAGACGTTTGCCTCGACTCTCGTTCGTTCGCGACGTCGACCGGTGCCGGCTGCCGCTGGCCTCTCGGACTGGCTGGTCCCGCGGGGGGATCTGCGCCCGGCAACTGCGATGGGGAAAACATTTTTGCAGATCGGTCAACTGGGATCTGTCGACCAACGGCAGCTCATCGTATATATTGACAATCGCACGTTCGGTCAGCGACTGGGTAATAATTGATCATTAAATCACCGGGCGGTGGCTATGGCCCAAAACTCCTCCCTTGTTTCCCCCCCCCCCACCCCCCCCACCCCCCCCACCTCCCCCACCAGTGCTGATGCTTACACACCACAAGAGGTACTTATTTACGGCTGAGTCGACCTAGGGGAGGCCCTGTCACAGCACAGATGGAGGAGCTAGGTGCGTGTTTATTTTTAGCCTCGCGTGGTTTCGTTTGAGACGGCGACGCCTGAAGGCGTTCATCCAGCAGTGGACAGATTGCGGCTCATGATGATGATGCTGATGCTGGTTTATCGTTGATGGAATGCGACAGTCGCCAATCTCGTGGTGTCGTGAGACTGGGCGCAAGTCAGGGGAGCAGGAGGAGGCAGATGCGTAGAGAGGAAGAGGGAGAATGGAGGAAGAGGCAGGAGGAATAGGGAAGAGGAGGAGAGGGAAGAGGGGGGGGGAGGAGAGATGAGGAGGAGGGGTGAGTCGGGGGGAGGTAATTTAGGAAGTTGGCCCGGCGGTGATGAATGCTGTCCCGGGTAGTTTCGTTTCCCGGATGTCGGCGTCTATGTATGTGAGAGCGCTGCCGTCGCACGAAGCCATTTCACAAAGCCGCTCGCGCGTTGCCGACCCCGGCTCTCTCGCCGAGAACCTCCGCCTCGACAGCCTGCCGTGACCGCCCTGGCCAGCGGTAGGAGCCATGCGGGGCCCACCCCGTGTCCGCCTTGTGTCCGCCTTGTGTCCGTCTTGTGTCCGTCTTGTGTCCGTGTGTCCTCCCCCACGTCCGTGTGTCCGTCTTGTGTCCGTGTGTCCTCGCCCACGTCCGTGTGTCCATCTTGTGTCCATCTTGTGTCCGTGTGTCTGTTTTGTGTCCGAGTGTCCGTCTTGTGTCCGTGTGTCCGTCTTGTGTTTGTGTGTCCCCCTGTGTCCGTGTGTCCCCCTGTGTCCGTGTGTCTGTCTTGTGTCCGTGTGTCCGTCTTGTGTTTGTGTGTCCGCCCCGTGTCCGTGTGTCCGTGTGTCCGTCTTGTGTTTGTGTGTCCGTCTTGTGTCCGTGTGTTCGCCCCGTGTCCGTGTTTCCGCCCCGCGTCCACGTGTCCCGCCCCGTGTCCGTGTGTCCGTCTTGTGTTTGTGTGTCCACCCCGTGTCCGTGTGTCCGTCTTGTGTTTGTGTGTCCGTGTGTCCGCCCCGTGTCCGTGTGTCGGTGGGCGCGTTTGACGCTCAGTCTATTGCATGGTCGCTTGCTCGGTCTCGGCGGTTTGGTCTTGGAGGAGGGGGGGGGGAGGTTGGGCCGGTCGGTTCGGCGGGTCAAGACCTGCGGTCGGTGAGTCGGTCTTTTCCATTGGTGGGCGAGCCAGTCTGTGTGTCCATCTGTAGGTGGATCGATTTGTCTGCTGGTGGGTGGGTCAGTCTTTAGTCAGTCCGTCGGTGGGTCAGTCATTTGGCTGGTGGGTGGGTAAGTCAGCCAGTCAGTCCGTCGGTGGGTCAGTCATTTGGCTGGTAATCCATTCTCGTCCTTTGGTGAGTGGGTTGGTCTGTCCGTCTGTGAGTTGTTTGGGTCTGTCTGTGGGTCAGTCCGTCTGTGAGTTGTTTGGGTCTGTCTGTGGGTCAGTCATTTGGCTGGTAATCCATTCTCGTCCTTTCGTGAGTGGGTTGGTCTGTCCGTCTGTGAGTTGTTTGGGTCTGTCTGTGGGTCAGTCCGTCTGTGAGTTGTTTGGGTCTGTCTGTGGGTCAGTCCGTCTGTGAGTTGTTTGGGTCTGTCTGTGGGTCAGTCCGTCTGTGAGTTGTTTGGGTCTGTCTGTGGGTCAGTCCGTCTGTGAGTTGTTTGGGTCTGTCTGTGGGTCAGTCCGTCTGTGCAGACTCCGATTCCAGGAGACTCGTGCATCTGGACCTGACTTTGTGCGTCCTGTTCGACTCGGCCTCGAGTCGCGTAACCAAATGAGCGTTGGTGTTGGAGGCAACTGGCGAGACGGAGGCGTCGTGGCAGACGCCACTCTGGCCGCACCATGCCCTCCGCTGGCTCGGAGATGTTAACTACCTCGCCTGGTATACAGGAGGTCGTGGGTTCCATCCCGACCCTGACGTTGCCCACATTTACAACCAACGTCAACGCGTTCAGGGTATTTTGCCGCTGTGATTTTCCGCGCACATGCGGCCCGATCTCTTCTGGAAAAAAAGAGCTGTACGGCTCGGTGGGCCTTACGTGGTAAAATAAAAAAAAAACAGTTAATAGTTTGGAGTTGAATAGTTTAAAGGAATCCTTCTTCCCGCGTCTCTGCTTCGCAGCACGGATGGCGAACGGGGCCTCTCCGCTCAGCGTCATGTCCTCGTTCACCTGGCTGGACACCACTTCCTACCACCCTCACTACCTGCAACAACAACAACAGCAGCAGCAGCAGCATCATCATAATCATCATCAGCAGCAGCCGTGGTCCATCGCCCAAGGCGGTCACTCCCCGGACTCCAGCGGGGCGTCCTCGTCCCCCCGAGAGACCGAGCGCCAGCCTGGGGCCAAGTCGTCGTCGTCGCCACTGCCGGCGCCCCCGTCGTTGTCCGCGTCGCCCGGCCCGCCGTCGTCCGAGCGGTCCCTCAGCCCCGGCAGCGAAAACGCCGACGAGACGCCGAGCCGGGCGGACTCGTCGCCCGCCGACTTCCGCCACCATCACCACCACCACCAGCAGCACCAGCAACAACAACAACAACAGCAGCAGCAGCACTATGGGCTGCTCGCCCAGGGCCTGTATGGAGGTGTGGAGCTGTACCACCACCACCACCAACACCACCGCCACGACGTGTCGGCGGCGATGGAGGCAGGGGGCCACGCGAAGGGCAAGGGCAAGGTTCGCCAGCCACCAGGTGGGCAAGGCCGCACCCTCCCGGCGTTGTCGCAGCCGCGCGTCCACCGTGCGTGCGGCGTCCAGCGCGGTGAAGTACGGCCGGGCTGGCTGGCTGGCTAGCTAGCCCCCTCCCCCCTCCCCCCTCCCCCCCCCCCCCGTCCCGGCGCGCACGGCGTGGGGGGGAGGACGCTCATCCAGCAGTGGAGCGACGAAAGTGCTGCGTATATATATACACGGTATACATGTGTATATATGTATAGTGTATATATACTTTATTATATATACTTGCACGTTGGCACTGTGTGTGCGGGTGTTGTGTCGGCCTTCATCGGTGCTCGCTAACAGCACTTGCCCCAACAGTTTGTTAAGGCTATACAGGGGGGGGGGAGGGGGGCGGGGGCGGGTGGGGTCCTTTATCTTTGTACAGCACACGTGCTTGGAGTGAGTGCCAGAACCACGCCCGGCCGCCTTTGTCTCCCCGGTGCTGATGTAGACACACCGCAGCGCCGCACAACCGTTTAAGGCCGAGTCGACCTACGGGAGGCCCAGGACCGGTTCAAAATATTCGGTTGTGAGCGGGAATTCAACTCGTCGTGCACTGCGCTCACCACTGTACCACCGCTCCCCACTCATTCACTACTCCCCCCACCACTAGCATCTCGCCCGCTCGCTCACTCTCTTACCCCGCTCACTCTCTCTCTCCCTCACTCTCACTCACTCTCTCACTCTCTCACCCGCTTACTCTCACCCGCTCGCTCACTCTCTCTCTCACTCTCTCACTCTCTCTCTCCCTCACTCACTCTCTCACCCGCTCGCTCACTCTCTTACCCCGCTCACTCTCTCACTCTCTCACCCGCTTGCTCACTCTCTTACCCCGCTCACTCTCTCTCTCTCCCTCACTCTCACTCTCTCTCTCCCTCACTCACTCTCTTACCCCGCTCACTCTCTCTCTCCCTCACTCTCACTCACTCACTCTCTCACCCGCTCACTCACTCTCTCACCCGCTCGCTCACTCTCCCTCTCCCTCACTCTCTCACTCTCTCACTCACTCACTCTCTCACCCGCTTACTCACTCTCTCACCCACTCGCTCACTCTCACTCTCTCTCACTCTCTCACTCTCTCACTCACTCACTCTCTCACCCGCTCGCTCACTCTCTTGCCCCGCTCACTCTCTCTCTCCCTCACTCTCTCACTCCCTCACTCCCTCACTCACTCACTCACTCTCTCACCCGCTCGCTCACTCTCTTACCCCGCTCGCTCACTCTCTCACTCACTACACGGGGGGGGGGGAGGGGGGGGGGATCTTTGTCTGTGCGGTGGTGTAGAGCGGTGGTGCAGTGGTGGCTACGGCTAGCCCTTCGCGTGCCTCCTTCCTGGGGGCCGGCATTTGCGATGCCTGCATCACGGTTGCTGAATCCCCGGACCGCTGGAAATTCGTCCGTCCCACAGCGCGGAATAATTTCACGTCTTAAAAACCCACGTCTTCTCACGTCTGCTTATTCCATTTAGCTCCTGCGTCTCTCTCGGCCTCTCCTTTACCCCCCTTAATTCTTAACTGGGCGCCTTGAGACGTTAGCGGAAGGCGCCTGACAGATAACTGTCAATCATTGTTATTATTATTATCATCATCATCATCCTAACATTAACCGACCCCCTTTTGGCCGGCGCGGCGCTACGTGGGGGACAGGAGCTTTGTTTCTTAGCGTGGAGCGAGCGGAGCCACGGCTGTTTGTGGCGACACACACAGCCCCCCCTGTTTTGGTTAAAGCAAACACCGACGAGAAAAAATATTATTTTGCGTAAAGTAAAAAATAAATAAAAGGGGGCATCGCTCTCATAATGTTCCGCCGTGGGAAACGCGTCACCGGCCGTAAGTGCCCCCGAAACCGTTGAACAAACACAGGGGATGTGCCGCAACAGCAACAATAAATAAGGGGAGAGAATAAACGCTTCCCGGCGGGGAGACGGGAGCGTTACAATCTGTTGTTTTTTTGTTTTTGTTTTTCGCGCGCAAGGTGCGAGGCGAAAACTCGTACACCGCAGGGTGTGGTGAGAGGCGATGGCTGCAGCGGCTTAGGTGGAGAGGCCCCCTTTCATCCAGCAGTGGATCGACCGTTGGCCGACGATGAACGTTCGCAAAACGACGGGGGCCGCCATCGCGGCGACAACGGTCACGGGGCGGGGGGCGGGGGGCGGGGGGGCGGGGGGGGGGTGCGTCCGTCGCGCTAGCGGGAAGACGCCACGGCACTTGCGCGACGCGTCTGCCTACGTGGCGTGCCGCCCGTGGTTTTTTTTCTCGGGGCGCTCTGGCTTCTTGGCATCTGATACAATCGTGCTTTTATTTTTACTGTCACCAGGTAAAAAAGAGACATAGGCCCAAACTGAGCGACGTACAGCTCCTGTTATCGGAATCGGCCCCGGCGATTGCAAATGATAGCTCAACGAAGTTGGCGGCTTATCATCGTCGTCGTCGTCGTCGTGCGGAAATTTAAAAGCAGCAGTCAAACACTCTTAAACGCATGACGTTGGTTCTGAATGTGGAGTGATAGAACGGAGGACCCGGAGAATATTCCAGACGACCACCACAGGGAGAGGGACACGCAAACTCTAAATGTACAGCAGGCGTCAGGCGAGGGATCGAACCCACGAACTACTGCATACCAGGCGAGGGAGTTAACATCTCACCACCACGAAATGTTAACTCCTTTGTCCGAGTCCACCGCTGAATCAGGATTTGTTTATCTCATTTGCCAGAGGCATTCCGGCAAGGTCACTGGGTTGTTGTCCTCTGTATAAAAGCAGCTCAGCTCGGTGGGCCTTGCCGTCCCGAGTCGCACATGACGGTGGCACGTTTGTTCCGCTTAAATGTGCCCGGAGGAAGCATGGTATGTACATTGGACTCCTTCCGCACCGTACGTAGCCGACAGTGCTAATCGGAGGTGCGGTGGTGGGACGACAAAACTAACACACAAAAAGCAGTTCAAAAGAAATGAGTTTGTCAATCTTGGACGATGATTTTAAAAGTGCATAGCAACCAGTGGCGTCCTTATATCGGAGGGAAGAGCGTTCCAGACGGCCGCAGGAGCATATCTGAAAGTGTGCGATGTGGTGGCCGGATGGCAGCAGCACGTCAATGGATTATTGAATACATCCGTGTGGAGCTTTGAGCGTCACCTCCTTGTTATGCATACATGGGGGAGGGGTTTCCTCCAGGTTTTCCGGTTTCCTGCCCACACGAAGCTTCACAACTCTCATCGCTAATGGAATTCATTTGCAAAACGTACCCAAAGTTTGCAGGACCCTCTTAACAAAGAATATTGAGACTAATTCTAGATTTGAAGTTTTCGTGACTGCAATGATCCATACTCTTTGGTTCTTTAGGTGAAGTCACATAGGTAAAAAAAAGTAATAAGAATTATAATTATTTATTTACTATACATTTTTTCACCTATGTGACTTTACCCAAAGAACCAAAGAGTAATATTGAGACTATTTTGGTGGAAGGCTTCCCTGGGTAAACAAATAACGGTGCGTTGTGCTATGCGTGATGACACACTTTCCACGTCTGATGATTGGTACATATGTATGTTGAACCGTGCTAATCGGAGGTGCGGGGGAAGGACAACAAACGATGTACGTTGAACTTCTTTCGCACCGTACGTAGCCAACCGTGCTAATCGGAGGTGCGGGGGAAGGATAACAAACTAAACACAAAAAGTAGTTATAAAGAAACTTAGCTCCAAGTGGCTTCCTAGTAAAGGTACACCTTTTACCAATCAACACACGAAGCCAAACGCTCATCAATTTGTGGATAGCAACTGACTTCAGTGGAGGATGAAAGTGGGTAAATAATGAATGGATCAACCTCCATTCTGTAGCACCATTGGCCTCGTGGACTTAGTCCAGGCTCGTGACAACTGCAACATTTACTTCAGTGAGCTAACCCTGGCCTGGTTTTGCCATTCTTGGGTCTCATCAGAAGGGTAAGGATTGCTAAAAAAACAAACTGCGGGTTTACCATATGTGAGTTGGTGAGAGCACTCCCTCAAAATAACGGGGCCCTGTCAGTGCTGGGCCCTGGCATGCAGAGCCCTACGGTTAGGCCTGAACCTAACCCAATCAATCTAAATCAAGTCCTAACCCTAAGTGAAAAGTCAATAACCTGATTTCACATCTTAGCATGAAGCTAGACTTAGTGATATGGACCTCCGATTAGCACGGTTGGCTACGTACGGTGCGAAAGAAGTTCAACGTACATACAATGCCCTAAGTTCGAACCAAAGCCAAATTCCTAACCCCAATCCAAGTTTTACAACCTGAATCATAGCCCTACCCCTTAAGCGCAAACCACATGCCAAGCACAAACCACATGCCAATTTCTCACTCTAATCCAAGGCCTAACCCTTGGCCATCAAAGATAACCCCATGAACTTGATGCCTAATCCTTAACCTGCTTAACTTTGGACGTTAAAGATCCCGTGACGTCATTGGCCATGGTCACGGATCACACGATCATGGCAAGTTTGAAAGAAAAAATAAACCGTACCCCGCAGATTACTCGATCGGAAACTACGCGTGCACACTGCCGCTTACTGTGACTGCGAGAAGACGTCAGGACCCTCCTGAACACAAGTTTCACGTGGGCTTTCTCTGGGTTATACAAACGTGATAATTACAACAACAACAACCTACTCCCTATGAAGCCTAAACTACCCTATACACCAGATGACCCAAACCCTACTTCTAACCCTAACCTGAACCAACTCACTAACCCGACCCCTAACTCTGACCCTAACCTGAACCAACCGGCTAACCTGACCCCCGAACCCTAAACCTCACCTGAACAAACCCGCTAACCCGACGCCCTGACCTCTAACCCCCCACGATGGCCATGAGCAGAAAGAGAGAGAGAGCCGCGGGGTTGTTTGAGCAGAAGCCACCGGGCGTGGCGGCACGCCCTTCCTGCCTGCCTCGGGGAGTCGCCATCGGCGGCGTCGTTTCGCGAGAGACATTCCACGTGCGCCCCGGTCTGCTCCCACCACGTGCGCCGCGGTGTGCTGTCACCGCATGGACCGCGGTGTGCTGTCACCGCATGCACCGCGGTGTGCTCCCACCGCGCGCGCCGGCTGTATCGCACCGTGCATTGTGGGTGTATTGCGCGTGTCCATTGTGTGTGTGTTGCGCGTGCATTGTGTGTATTGCGCGTGCCCATTGTGTGTGTGTTGCGCGTGTAGTGTGCGTGCATTGTGCGTATGTATATTGCATGCATATTGTGCGAATTGTCGCGCGCATTGTGTGTGGATTTAAAATATTAATTGTGCTTTACGTAAAAAAAAAGTACTTCCTGTTTAATGCGTCGAGTTGACGTGAGGTCACGTAGAACAACAGGAGGAGGAGGAGTGGGGGTCCTATTACGAACCCGGCAACCAAACCTCCGAGTTTTCCCATTTGCGGATTTGCCGACTGCGATGGGCCAAGGGCTTCGGAGCTGCACAACTGTGTGGGCAGCATTGCGGTGTTTGGCGCGCGCTGCGCTGTGCACCTGACGAGCCGAGTTCGAGTCCTGCCCCTATCCTCCACCCTGCCATCTCCCCTTCGCCACCACGCTGGCACTCACCAACGCCCGCGTCTGTAATGCGGGGGGGCCATGGGCTCGGTGGCGACCGTTGACCCCTGCTGCGTATTCGGAGTTGGCGTGTTCCCCCCACGTGGTCGCGTGGATTTTTCTCCGCTCTGTGAGGACGTCACCGGAGCTGTGCGCTTTCAAATCATCCACATTGGAAGCTCATCAATTCAGCGGAACTGCTTTTTGTTGTTCAGTTTGTTGTCCTCTTCCCCCGCACCTCCGATTAGCGCGGTTTGCCTGCGCGCGGCACGTGCACGTGCACGTGCCGCAGGCGTCGTCGTCGCGCAAAGATGCGAGCAGGCAAAGACGTTTGCTACCAGGGCGCTCGTTGAGAGAGATTCGCGTGCGAGGCTGCGGGCCGCGCGCGCTTCCGCCGCCTTGGGCGACCGAAGCCTGGAGTGTTCCGCACGCGGATGGGCGACACGGGGGAGAAGCTTTGGCCGCGCCGCGCGCTTCCGACGTCCTCCCGACGCCGCGTCGTCGGCGGCGGCGCGCGCGGTGCCCGGGAGGGGATCGTCGCTGACGCCCGTTGTGCCCCCGCCCCTCCCTCCCGCCTCCGCCAGGGGAGCCGGCGCCCGCCGCGTGCGGCGAGAGTCGCGAGTGCGTCAACTGCGGCGCTACGGCGACGCCGCTGTGGCGTCGCGACGCCAACGGCCACTACCTGTGCAACGCTTGCGGCCTCTACCACAAGACCAACGGGCAGAACCGGCCCCTCATCAAGCCCAAGAGGCGGCCGGTGAGAGCCGCGCGCACGCACGTCATCGTCGTCGTCGTCATTGTCTACGTCACACTCATCATCATTATCGCACCTTGGCCATATTCTTGGGTCTTTCGGTAAACCCACGTAGATAGATCAAATAATAAAAAAATAATAAGAACAATATCCCGACGTTTCGATTGCAACACAAGCAGTTGTCGTCAGGTAAGAGCTCTCTCCGAGTTCACATTTACTAGCAAATCTCTTACATTGGCATGCTAATCTCTTACATTGGCATGCTAATCTCTTACATTGGCATGCTAATCTCTCACAATACAATGGTCACCCCCACAGCTTCGTTTGTCAAGATTTACCCGATCTTACATTTACATGCAAATTTCATCTCTAGCCCCTCCCACTGACCCTTGGGCTACACCCATTCCCAAACCTTGACAACTCCTTACCTTAGCAGCGCTCCCACCATATATTCTCAGCAGCTCTCCCGCGATATTTCTCACCTGATGACGATTGCTTGTGTTGCGGTCGAAACGTCGTGATTTTGTTATTATTTTTTATTTTTGTTTTTATTATTCTATCTATCTACGTGGCTTTACCGAAAAGCCCAAGAATATGAATTTCTGCAGTCACGAAAGCTTTAAGTCATCTTGGCCATCTCACAGCCGCATGCCTATGGACTGACATAGCGACCCGTCGACTCACACGGGGACCCATAGACTCGCATAGACACCCACAGACTTATAGAGGGATAGATGATAATAATAATAATAACAAGCAAGATTGATCTTGCTAAGCTCCTCGAACTCCAGGCCGGTTCTGTGTGATTTTGGCTGTCACGCAAGACACACACACGCACACAGTACATACACTTGACACGCACACACACACACGGCACACAACACGGCACACAAACGATACGCACACCAGACACACACACACATGACACACGTGCTGCTGTCGTGTTTACGTCGTGCCCCGGGGCTGTTTATTGGACGTCCGGATGACACATTGTCCAGGAGTCCCTTTAAAAAATAGAGAGGGGGGCGCGGGGGGGGGGGTGTGGAGGGAGGGGGGCAGAGGGGGTAGGAGGCAGGGGAGGGGGCTCAGCTATTTCACGGGTCACAAGGGCAGTGGCCTGACTCGAAAATGTATTGAGTGGGGGGTTGGGGGGGGTGGCAGGGTGGGAGAAGGGGTCACGGAGGGTTTGGGTGGGGGGCTAAGTCACCAACACTCACGTGACCCCTACGTCGACCCACAACGACCAGCGCGGCAAAGTATGGTCAAACAACCCCCCCCGTGGTTATAAGGTACGGGGGGGGGGGGATCCATCCAGTGGTGGAGGAGCTGCTTCTTGAGAAGCAGGCTCCACATGCAAGCCAGAGATGGGCCCGTTCTATCTCCTGGCGAGGCAGCTCAAACTACGGGGGAGATTATATTCTTAGTTTTTTCGGTAAAGTCACGTTGAAGAGAAACAACTAAGAATATGAATTACTGCAGTCACGAAAGCTTTAAATCAAATTTACGGGGGAGATTGTTTATGAAGTCCCCACGCCGTGTGAATGGGTGGGGGGCACAGTTCTCATCGTCGCTCCAGTAGGTCGCGTGCGGTGGGGTGGTAAAGTGTGGGGTGACTCCATCTCTCTCCCAGGACGCGCTGCCCAGCGTGGAAGAGTAGGCCAAGTGCCCTCTAGAGGTAGCTCAGGGCTACCGCTTGCTCCCTAGAACTCTCTAGAGCGCTACCTCTAGTGTAAGCCCATCTGGCAGCAATGGCGTTAGCAAGCAATAGCAGGGCTGCGCCTTCGCCTTATCATAATGATAATAATAACGACGATAGTTTACGGCTGTGATACTGGATGGAGGCGTCCCCGCGCCGCGTTTGGTCACGGGCGCCCCTCGACCATACTTCGCCAATTCGGTCCACCGGGTTCGAGCCCCCGACTCGCGACTGACATTGGCCGCCCTGTGCCCGGGGCGGAGCGGAGCGGAGCGGAGTAAGTCATCGCAAAGCAGCGGCGGCGGTGCTGCCGATGCCGCTGCCTCCTCCGCCTCCTCCGGAACCTTTAACCTTTACTCAAGAGTCGAAGTGAAGAGTCGCGATGCCTGCCGGTGTTGGGAGGCGGGGTTGGGGTGGTGGAGTCGAGGCAGGCGGTGGGGGGGGGGGGGGGTGCTACTGTTGTTCAATGTCTTTGGGGAGGGGGGGGGGGCACCTGCTCGGGTTTCACCACCGGCCGGCCTCGCTTGCGACAGCGGGTGGTGGGGGCGGAGTGGGGGGGGGGGGTTGGCGTGCGAGTGCGGCGGCGAGCGTTGGCGGCTGCGCGTCCGTGCGGTTTCCTGCGGAAGCGTGCGTGCGTCGCGATAAGGCACACACTTCCCACAACCACAGCCGCCTGTTTCCTGAGTCGCCCCCCAGTCCCCGCTCCTCCTACCCCCCCCCCCCCCACAGTTCACCCACCCCCACGACCGCCCCACGCAGCCACATTCCCAACGGTCAAAACAGAATCTTGTTGTCGATTGACTGGAAATTGTGCGCGCTGCGGATATTTTGTTCGCGTGTCTCGTTTTTTTTTCTTTCCCCTTCTCATTTCTGCTTCGTTTTCTATCGCCGCTCGAAAAACAAAAAATTCCGACCGACCACGGGAGCCCGTCCCCACCACGGGAACGTGGAATGCCCGCTCCGCAGGAGGCCCACTGGGCTGCTTGAGCAGAGTGTACGTGCTCTGGCAAGTCAGCGCCACGAGCCGCTTCAAATCCGGACCCACGCGGATTTCGCAAAACGTGGCGGGCGCGCGGCGAAAAAGGCCTTCGTTTCTCCCCGCCTGTCTCGCCGGTTACCGGGAGACTGCAGTGGCTGGACACGTGGCCACAGCCATAGCGAGAGACGTCGACTACTGGATGTGGTGTGCCGGCTGTGGAAGTGCTTTTTTTCTGGATTGCCGACTTACTCAAAACAGATCGCGATGAAAGTATGCCGCGCGCAGCCTTGACGCGGAGCTCATAGACTTACGCAGGACCCACAGACTTGCACAGAAACCCACAGACTTAAAGGAGAACTCATTGGCTCACATAGAACCCAGACATACATATGACCCGTAGACTAACATTGGAGCCGTAGGCTAACACAGGAACCCATGCACACACGTTGATGACTCGTGGCCAACGCGGCACCCACAGACGAATTAACGTGGGGCTCCGAGCTTGAAATGATCAGGGAATGACTTTGGCCAAATCCTGCCGCTCCGTCGACATCGGAACAATCTCCCTGCGGCTCTTGCAGTGGCGGCCGGCTGATCGGCACAGCGACGACGGCGGCGTGCCACGTTTGTGCGCCGGTTCTGGCGCACGTGCGCCACCCCGGCGCGTGGTTCAATTCGAGGGAGCGACCGGTGATGGCGGTCCTTGTCTGGCAAACGGCTGTTCGCGGTGAGATGTTAACCACCTCGCCGGGTATGCAGGACGTCGTGGGTTCGATCCCGACCCTGACACCTGCTGCTGTATATTTGGATTTTGCGGTGGCCCTTGCCCCGTTGTCGCGTGGATTTTTCTCCGGGTCCTGCGGTTTTCCCCCTGCACATTTACAAACATGTGTTTAGAGTATTTGGGCCGATGTCAATTTCCACGCGTCGATTCGCCACTTCGTTTTGCTATCATTTCTGATAGCCAGGTCGCTTCTGAAAAAAAAATAGCTATGTAGCTCAGCTGGCTTCACCTGGTAAAATAAAATAAAAAACAAAAATGGTTTCGTTTATCTGGACATCGTAGCTCGTCGGATTCCTCCCCCGGTCTAAAGAAATATTCTGAATCTGACAACGCCCGCCGCACACAGAGGGCGGCACCTGCAAGCGAAAAACACGTGCAGAGCGGGGAGGGCAGCCACGTGCCCGCAACAACAACAACAACCGCATTGAGGCACAAAGACGAATATCCCCCATATAGCCTTCACAGACTGTTCGGGGCAAGTGCTGTTAGCGAGTAGCACCTATGAAGGCCGGCATGGCGCACCTTTGAGGGGTTGGGTGGCCAGAGCCACGCCCGACCGCCTTTGTCTCTCCAGTGGCGATGTTTTTACACACCGCACCAGGTACTGATTTGAATCTGAGTCGACCTAGGGGAGGCCCAGGACCGGTTCATGTAACCGTCACTAGCGTTGGCCGCGAATGGGATTTGAACCTGGGGTCACCGGGTTCGTAACGCAGCGTTTTAACCGTTACGCAAACCGCTCCCCATGCCACACAGACAGATACATTCACACACACACACACGCGCGCGGACACGTGAGCACACACGCGGGCACGCGCGCACACACACGCGCGCACACGCCACGCTCGCACGTGCGAGTGCGGGAAAAACTCGTGAAGCCTTTTCCAACAGCGAAACCGCGGAAGGCGACCGCCCTGCTCCGTCAAAAAATAACTCGCGCTCGGTTTGTGACGAAAGCGATGTTGTTTTCATTTGGCTGCTGCCTGGTTAGAGGCCGTGGCGTGCTGCTTTGGGGCACTGCGGTGGCGAGATCTTATCTATCTCGCCTGGTATGCAGGAGATCGTGGGCTCGATCCTGACCCTGTATATGCTTCAGTTTGCGCGTTCTCCCCGTGGCCCACGTGGATTTTTCTCCGGGTCCTGCAGTTTCCCCCCTCCACATTTAGAAGGAACTTCACGCGTTGGCTGCTCCTCTAAATTTCCACGTGATGACAAGCCACGTCGTTGCGATGTTACTTGCGGCCGGTTCCGTGCTGATAAACAGCTACATAGCTCAGTAGGCCTTACCTGGTCAAAACGATAGTGGAAATTGTTCGGTACCGGGCAGGGTGGCTGCATTGTTCGCTCGATATTTTCCCCCCCGGGTCGCCACGCAGACCGGACGTAGGTGGCACGTGGCGAGAGAGGTATGGGGGGGAGGGGGGGGGGGTGGAGGGATCCATCCAGCAGTTGGAGAAGCTGGCTCCTGAAAAGCAGGCTGGACGTGCAAGACAGAGATCGCCTGCTCTTGTCTCCCGGCGTGGAAGTTCAAACTAAGGGTGGAA